AAACCAGATCCTCCAGTGCCACATCCAGATGCCTCTTCAACACCTCCAGGGATGGTGACTCCACCACCTCCCTGGGCAATATCCCAGTGCCTCAACACCCTCACAGGGAAAACATTTCTCCTCACATCCAATCTGACTCTGCCCTGGCTCAGCTCAAGGCCATTCCCTCTAGTCCTCTCCCTGCAGCCATGGCAGGACACACAGCCCCCACCTCTCTCCAACCCTGGCAGGGAGTTGCAGAGAGCCAGGAGGTCACCCCTGAGCCTCTTCTCCAGGCTAAACAAACCCAACTCCCTCAGCCCTTCCTCATCCCACAGGTTTTCCAGCCCTTTGCTGCCCTCGTTGCCCTTGGCTGGACTCGCTCCAGTGCCTCAATGGCCTTTGGGCAGTGAGTGCCCAAAGCTGAGCACAGCACTGAGCTGGGACCTCCCCAGTGCCCAGTGCAGGCAGATGAGCACTGCCCTAGTCCTGCTGGTCACACTATTCTTGATCCAGACCAAGATGCCATTGGCCTTCTTGGCCACCTCTGCACACTGTTGGCTCACATTGAGCTGCTGCCACAGGCACTCCCAAGTCCCTTTCTTAGAAAGGTCATAGGCATAATTTTTTTACTACCTCTAAGGAAATATATCAGACAATTTAAAAATTAAGTGCAAAAGCCCATTATCTCAGAGTATCTTTGTAATATTTCAGATTTTCCTTTTCAGTTTGAAGCAAACTGAATCATTTGCAAAAACATATGGAGATGTTATACTTAAGGCTGGATTGCATTTTTAATTCTCATTCACCTGCACTTTATTGAACAAATTAAGTCTAATTTCAACATCTCATAACACTTCATTGAACAAGTATTTAACAGAACTCACAACAACTATCAAAGCACACAAGGACTTCATACACTGCTTTCCATTTGAAGGCTCCAAATTGTCAATAATTAGCCTTCATAACTTCCCTCTGAAGAAGGTAACATTACTTTTATTTTATAAACAGAAAATTTGAGTAAGAAATAATAAATCCACCTGGCAAAGGAACGAATTAAGTTAAGATTCCGCTAGTTTTCTGCTCCATTATGCAGCCAGTACAATGCTGAACATTCATTCAGTGTTCTCCTGGTTTGCTTTCACTTTTTGGTACAGTTGTAATGAAGCTTCGTTTTATTAAAGGTTTCTGTTTATAAATCTCTACTAAGCTAAAGGGATCAACTACAAGTTCCCAGAAACAGACAACAGGGTACACAAGTGAACAGAAACAAGATAGCCAGACTCTACCATAAGATGGATCCTATGGAAAACATCACCTTCATTAAGGTCACACTTCAGGTCTTCTGAGCCAGCCCAGGAAGATACTCTATATATTTAAAGCAATTCTGATCTGCTCCCACAGAAATCCCAAAAAGACTTTATTTCCTCTCAATACTCTCAAAGCTATTATTTAGTTTTTACAATTCAAAGGATAAAATTAAACCTGCTCTACCACAGGCCATGGATGGCTGTTACTCCTCCATACTTCCCACACTACCATTTGTGCCTTCAGGCAAAAACATCCCAGGTCAAAGCAGTAGGAGGAGGAGATAGAAGACAGTGGTAGCAATATCTAGTGCCTAATTAATAGTCTGATCCTGTAATTTCCTTCTTATCTTTTTTATAAAAGGAAGAGCTAGAACTGATTTCTCTCAGATCCCTGACAGAAAAAAAAAAAAAGACTTGCTACTTAATCATTCATCCAGCAGTTATAAACAAACAAAGTCACAACTACACTGCTACATAAAAGCCAAAAACAAGCAATACATCCAGGTCATTCCTTATCTTTAGTTATGAAAATAACCACTGAACTTGAACTACTCACCTTTGGCACACTGTTAAAATGATCCAGGCAGTGAAAGGCAGGACTCTCCAACAAAGTTATAAACACCACCGTCTGAAACAACAAACAGTATATATTTTAGCCCTAGCACTAAACTTAGAAGACATTCTACTAGGAAATTTAGTTTTCATGCTATCAAAACCTACTAAGAGATGCTGAAGAGCAGGCAGAATGGCTTGAACTTGATCCACTTGTTTAGCATAAAACAGATTCCATCATCACAATTAACATCTCTCAATGAATACAAAGTCATTTTAACCACAAACAATCCAAACCATCTATGAACTCAGCCATCATGATGCACAGAAAAAACAGGCAAGAAATGGAATTAAGAATTTAGGCTCCATTTTAGAAGGATTACATTTTACAAAACACCGTTTTTTACTGTTTCCTTAATTTTCACATTAGTCAGTTTAACCTGCCTGTAATTCCTAAGAAAAAAGGAAATACCATTACATGTCGAGATGAGATACATCACAGAATCAGTGAGGTTGGAAGGGACCACAGTGGATCATCTGGTCCAACCTCCCTACTCTAGCAGGGCCAGCCTAGAGCACATGGCTCAGGGTTGTGTCTAGATGGGTCTGGAATATCTCCAGTGAGGGAGAATCCACAGCCTCTCTGGGCAATCTGTTCAGTGCTCAGTGACTGCACAGCAAAGAAGTTCTTCCTCGTGTTCAGGTGGAATTTCCTGGGCATCAGTTGTTGCTGTTGCCTCTTGTTTGATTGGTTTCCACCACTGAGAAGAGCCTGATCCATCAAAAACATCAGCAAAAGCATAGCCAGTAGTTTTGTTGGACATGAGTAGTTCCACCTAGAAGGCACTCACACACACATTTAGATGTGTAATCCAACTGGATTACTACCACATGTGGCTTGTACCTACTGGCACAAGAGACAGTAACCCAAGATGGGTGAGCTCTGACAGAGGTGGTGAAGTTGGTCATTGGGTCAGACCACTGAAATTCGGGCTGGATTTAAAGAAGTCACAAGGGTGGCCAAGCACAGGCACATGCTCCCTGATGGGCCTTCTTCCTGGGAGAGTCTCAAATTCTACTGGACATGGCCCCAGCTGCATCCTCAGCAGGACAGCACAAGCCTCCAGAGGTCCCTCCTGACCTCCACTGCTCTGTTAAGTATTCGTAGCCATAAAAGTAACTGTTTGGAAGAGACTTTGGAGTATTTAAACATTTGCTTCTGCTTTTTAATGACCCTTCTAACTCCATAGGATGTCTGATCAATTCAGGCAGCACAAGCCCATTAAGATCCAATTCAAAGAGAAGGAAAGAATTCTGAGCAACTTCCTACACTGCAGCCTCTGGCTCATAAGGGCAACGTGTTACAACTCCTCTGCAACCTGAGGCCACTCATCCACAAGTGTTTCTGTTCTAAGGCTCTTCTGAACAGATTCCAACCAGTTGTCACTCTAACAAAGCATCCTACAAAGCAATTCCATTTAAAGGAGCAATTCATTCAATCATTCTGTGCATCATAATAAACCAAGGGGAGAACAAAAAGTATTGACAAAGGTATTATTTACACCCTACACAGATGTTTAGAAGTGAGATTTAGACATCCACTCATTAATATCTGGAGTAACAGAACTACTAAAGCCACAGTTTGCAGAAACATTTAGGCATATTGTTGGGAGGTAAAGCACAAGAGACTTCCTTGACCCTCAACTTCTGGCAGCTCCCCAGCAGCTGCAAGGGGAGACAAAGCATCACCAGCCCTCCTGAAAAGCACAAAAGATTAAAACAAAAACAACACAAAACCCCACCAAAAAAAAAAAAAAAAATAAATAAAACAACCCAGGGGAGGATGGCAAATCATGAGGAAGTGTTATTCCAAGAGAAGAGGCTCCTGATCCAGTTCAGCACCTGAATGAAGATATGGCTGTGACAGCAGAAAGCAGACAGGACCACAGGGTGGACATCAATCCCTTTTCTGCCAGGTGCTAGAATACCTGCTGCCCCATTGCCTGCCCTGGGCTTTCAGCTTTGTGCAGACACAGACTGCAGGCAACCACATTTTGCTCTATCAATTTTCCTACCCAGTAACAGATTTCAACTGTGTTCTTGCTGAAAACTGCTCTATTGAAATTACAGGGCAGATATCAAGTAAATGGGAAAGATACTTTAATAAATGAAGCAATATTAAAACCCTGAGGCAGAGCAGATCTATTTTCCTGCTGGCTGAATGTGTTGTAGTATATGTTTTTCTCCTGTCAATAATACAAGGACATTTTTAATATTAAAGGGGGAAAAGTGAGAAAATAAAAGTCTCCTTATTTTTCGGTACAAGATCTTCTGATTAGTACTATCTTTCTCTTTCCTACCTCACAAATCATCCACTGCCCATTACCATCTACCACTGAAGTGCTGTACCAAACCTCTGATTTTGTTGGAGTTTGGTTTGTTTTGTTCCTTAAAGAAAAACACAACACCTTTCTCAATTATTGCTTCCACCTTCACAAACACACACTCAGCATGCACAATGTGTGTCTGAAAGTAAGCTGAAAAACAGTACTGTTAATCACTAATACCTGAAAAATTAACATTGTGTCTGTTAGCTAAATGGAGAGGAAGTACAGTTGGGGAAAAGAAAGAGTCCAGATTTCATCTAAACACATACGAAAAGAATGAGTCATGTGTTTATCTCAATATAACAATGCTAACTTCCTTCTCTACAGCAAGAATGGTTTTATTTTTGCAGCCTAATTAGCATACACTGAAAGTAGCTCAGAATGTTAATGGTGATAGTGAAGAGAGCCAAAGGAAGAAGATGCACATTCCTACCAACACTTGGAAATACAACCCTGTTAATCTAACAGACACACAAGCACAAGGTGCAGACTGGTCTCTGTTCTCCCTGGGCTCGATTTTGTTGCATTGTGACTTCTTCTATTTTTCTCCTGATAAAAATCTTCACTTTGCTTTGGAGGAGCCAGAGGAAGTTTTCTGCTACGAGTCACACTAAGAGTCACTTCCCCAGAGGAGTAGCCAATTTCCACCACACACTCCCACAGCCCAAGAGCTTGGCCTAAAACACTGCAATTTGCCAAGTGACTCAAACTCAGGAGGGAAACTAGGACCTTGAATAATTCACTTATATTTTAAATATGTTCCTTGAAACAATCTTTCAGTTACAGAAGTTTAGGTCCTTTTGTCTCAAGGGGCAGTAAACAGCAACAATGATTAGGGTTTGGGACCACCTGCCCCAGGCAGAGTTTGCACCACAGATCAGGTTTCTGTTGTGTCCTACCAGAGAGGACTATAGGCAGAATTATGTGATAGCAAAGCCATTCTGAGGAATGAATTAAACTTTGAGAATACAAAATAAACTCCAAGCACCTTCAAAAGCCTTGCAGCATGTGGGACAAACGCAGCCCACCCAAAAGACAAACTGGAACAACACTAGAAAACCTGGGAAATCAAGTCAACAACTTGTTTTGAAAGGCAGCAAATGGAGGTACAGAGCTGAGCAGCCATGTCCCATGGTATCCCCAGTGCCCATCACTTCTGTACCATTTAGCATGACATCCTTTTGTCATACCTCAACCTTCATACCTATACTACTGCAGTAATGTCAGCCCTGCTGCATGTAAAATGCCACTCATGACTGTCTTCATATCCCACACTTTCCTTGAGGCCCAGAGCAGAGGAACAGAAGATGACAACAACAAGGAACAGGAATGGCAGAGTACAGGAATTGGATGAACATGTGATTACAAACATGCAGCACAGAAAGACAAATTTATCCACTGAAAGGAGGTTGTAGAGATGTGGGGGATGGTCTCTCCTGCCATGGCTGCAGGGAGAGGATGAGAGGGAATGATCATAAACTGAGAGAGGGGAGAGTCAGAGATGTTGGGGGAAATGTTTTCCCTGTTAGAGTAATCAAGCACTGGAGTAGATTGCCTAGGGAGGTGCTGAAGAGGCAACTGATCTGATGCTGGAGGATATGGTTTAGGGGTTCCTGCCATTTGAGAGGTTAATGGATAGAGTCAATGATCTTAGAGGTCTCCTCCAACCTTGATGATCCTATGGCTCCCTAACAATAAAACCTCAGTCACTCTCCTTTTGTTTTCCAGACCAGAGTCTTCCAAACACAAGGACTATACATGTCCTTGTGTAAAAGGCCCTTTTCAACACTGAAAAATAGAAGTTTGAACTCGATGCTTGCAAACAAGCACCAATAGGTAAATACCAGTAACATCTAATATAATAAGCACCTTACATTTTACTGTGTAATCTGTAAAGATTACAACCTCAAACAATAAATCAGTGCTCTGGTAATGATTACATTACAACCAACATCCACAGCTATTAGCCACCTCTCCTTTCTCTAATAGCTCTAATGTGCCCCATTTTCTTTATCTCTGTGGCTAAAATCCAGACTCAGCCTTACAGTGACTATTTCGATGACAATTCTCTCAAGCTCTCTTACCAATACCCAACCACCTCCTATTTAAATTCAGACATGGGATAACTAAAATAATCTCTTTGATACTTAATATGCTAATACACAAGAATGATCTGACCATAAACCTGCACCGCAGAGTGGGAATTTTAACTCCAAAATGATCTGACCATAAACCTGCACCGCACAGAGTGGGAATTTTAACTCCAGTTGACGTATTACTGGTGACCTTCTGGAGAACAAATGAAAAGCATCACATTAATACAAATTCTCCCGTGGAGAAGATCAAGCTGGCAATCTGCCAGTTCATTACACCATCTAGTTTCACTCCAACATTAAATATTGCCTTCCTTTGTAATTGACTGAAATTCGCTGGAGCAATTGCAGGTAACCACTTTGGGCTATTAAAGTGTTCCATTAAGGCTTCTCCACTAGGCAGATATTTCAAATGAAGCTACATCAAAATAGGCTATGTTCAAAATATTTTAACTATGCAGACAATTGGGCAAGCACAATCAAGTTCCATGGAGCAGCAGACAGAGCAGCTTAAGCACTCAAAAGCTCAATGCCTAAAATTGCTTAAAGTGAAAAGAAACACACTAAGTCTACTCTAGTATA